ATCTTTTAATAGGGATAGATGATTGTAGTATTTCATTTTCTTCCAATTGAGGAGCCTTATTTATCTGCTTGCATCATATTTTTGTTTTACAAATGATTAGTAAATAAAGTGGAATTACAGTGTAAAAAACAAAGTGTGTTCCTAGAGATTTATGCGACATAGAAAAGGGTATACTTTTTCTAGACGATCAGTCTCAGTGTGTAAAAAGCTAAATGCGTGAACAAATTTTAGTATTTTCCATGTTTCTCGCTGGAATATATACTACTATTTTGTGGCAAAATGGACATAATTAGTGTTCGATGTTTTGATGACGATGAGTAAAAATCGGAACACGTCAAATTGGTTTCATGTCCAACTAAAGAGAATTCATTCATTTTCTTCTCATTTTTTAGCAAGCAGGCAACTTGTAGTGGTTCATTTACGTTTTGTTCTCTTCAAGATATATCCAGAAGAATAGTCTTCATACCTTTTTGCTTGAACTCTTTTGTTTTTTCAACAAGTCTGATCACAGCATGATTAGCGTTCGCTGACCGTGAGTGAAAGTAGAAACATGTTAAATTGTTTTTTAATATGTCAATAAACCGTCTGCGTAGTGTATTCAGTGAAAATAAATAGATATAAAATCCAAAACTACATTCAATGCAGCCAAACATACGTGATATTTGATCAATTAAATTTTCAAACGTTATTTGTTCGATTGTTTTTGATCGATTTCGTGTTAGTAATATATAAAAAGTATACAATGAATAGGGTAAACAACCTAGAACAGTTAATAGTATTTCTAATAGAATCATCCATGTCAACTGATATTGAATACGTTGATTTAAACAATGTTTTTGTAATGGATTTCTGTTTTTTGTAATATTTCGTACATTGAATAATGTTAAGAGGCCAAAAATGATCATTAACATCGGCATAATTAGTGTATATATAATCGATAATATAATGAAATATTTTGAATATTTAACAAGACACGTTGAGCGTTGGTTAATCATATCTACATTAGAATTAAAGTAATGATGTAAAGACAATAGTGCCCATACAACGGTAGTGAATAGAATTAAACGATATTGTAAATATATTTGACCATATTTTCGTCTCTTTTCGTTTCGTGAACTTAAATAATAACGATTTATTGACGCCAATAAAACAAAATTAAGCGATAAATTTGTGCTTAACATTTGTATGTACATCTTAAATTTACAATAGACTGTTAACGAAACAATCGTTTTTGATACACTATCAATGGTAATTGGTAAGACACTAGAATCATACCATCCAATATTAATTTGTGAGATAGAATTTGTTGTATTTGACGACGACTGAATATTGACTAGAAAGCGTGTCAACGGAATATTATTCAGAAGGAAAAAATAGGTGATTGTAGCGGCGATAATATAAACTGAACATGAACATACACGAAGTGGCTTTTGTAGAAAGAAAAAAATTTTCAATAAATTTCCAATATTTCCAAAGATTAATAGTATTAAGTTCACATAAATATTTATTCGATTTGAAATTATATTCAATTTGTTAATATAAGCAGACACGTTTCCAACACTAGATGTGGTACCTGTAATAATAGGCATGATACAGGATTTTTGTTTTAGGCGTCTCTGTTCTTGAAAAAAAGAAGAACAAGAAAAAGATATTGAATGCGTGTCAGATTACCGAAATGAAAGAAAAGAAATACTTTTGTCTCTCTGTTAATCAAGCATAGAAAGATAGATAATATAACAAGAGTATACTGTAAAAAATAAAGTGTGTAAATGACGCACTGAAAGTAATATCTAGCGATTCCCAGTGATCGTATAGAATGTACGATGGTGTATAAAATACATACGGAGAAGTGACCAGATATTTTTTAACACCAGAGCAAGAATCATTCTTATTCTAATTGTGTTTTTCAACATTCTACCAGTACATGGTATTCTGCCGTAAAAAGGCTTCATATGTCTAGAGGAGCAACAGTATAATAGATTATTTCCCAATTCAATCTTAGGTCTGAATGAACTATTAAATAATAAACTATCTCTTGTTTGAATAATTGTGTTTACTTCAGTTCCATTTGTGTTTTTTCTTTTTCTTCTAACATATATGAAGGAAGAATCGATTCAGTGAATATTTTAAATTATTGTATGTTTTTGAATTGCAAGAGAATACTGCAAGAAAAGAAAGTCGTTTATATGTGCGTTGAAAGGACTCGCTGTTGTATTTACAACAGTAATAAGTAATCTTTATTTTTCTTCTTAAAATTAAATATGCCAAGATTGTTTTTTATTTTGTACGTTTATTGAAGATTGTCTCTCAGAACAGAACAGAAGATCCGTCTAAAGGACTTTTTCACTCACTGAGTGTTAAACTGAGCTCACCGAGCTCCTTAATTATTTTTGAACTACTGTTTGATTTATTCCATCGATACTAAAATCCGTTTTCTTCCACTGATTGTTTTTATTAGCTTTGCGCTAAACAAATCAATAAATCAACAAATTCGCTGAATCAAACAAACCAACAGCGTTTAACATTGATTATAACCCAAGACAAACTCATCTTACAAGATCTGCCGTTTTGTTATGAAATCGTGTAACAAGACCCTAGTGCATGATCTTACAAGATTTTGTCTTAGGATATTGTAAGATCGTGCGGATCTTGTAACTTCTTGTCTTAAGATCTTACATGATCAGCTCATAAGACGTAATAAGATCTTACAAGGTCTTGTAACACGAAAGCGTATGATCTTACAAGATCTTGCCATTGAGAAACGTGACTTATATGTATTTCTTATCGCAAGATCATACGATTTCTTGCTATAAGATCTTATATGATCCTGCAAGAATCGATGACTCATTCTTACCACATAACTTTTGCTATGATATTGAGTATTTATATAACATAGTTCTTATGATAAAACTTAGAATTTCGTTCTTTCTTCGTCTTCACACATCAGCTGAGCGCAAATAAAGTGCATGGCTATAAGGAACGTGGTTAAACACTATCCTAAGGACGTTTGTGTCCTGCTTATACCAGAAAATATTATGAATAGAGAAAGATACTTTTTAAGCGGGTCTAGAGTAAATTTATAGAACACGATCAGACACACAATCTTATAAGATCTGATGAATTCTTACGTGATCTTATGAGATCTTACAGCTTCATATGTTATGATCTTATAAGACCATAGAAGACCATAGGAAATCTTGATATACGAGTACTCGTCCTGGGAAAATTCAAAAAGCTCTGTGTGATCTTGTCCAAGTCCTTGATCATGAAAAAAGCAACTAATGAAGATTACTCGTTACTTTAGTCTATGGATGAGCTCTAACTTCCATTGTATAGGTAGAGGATTAAAAATTGTGAAAATTTTTCAGTTCTCTAAGAAATTTTAAAGGCACATCATCTGATAGAGTTTTTGACGCTAATTCCAAACATCACCCTATTCTTGTTTTCAGGTGAAGTTTTGATGACTAAAATCTCAAGAAACTGAAAACTTGTGGTTGGTCGGCCATCTTGTTTTCAAGTTTTGGAGCTTTTTCACCACTTTTAAATTAAAGTTTTGGAGCTCAGTTTGTGAAAAATTGAATTCTCTATCGCGTATGACTTTCGAATTGTTAGCACAATACTGTTTGGCAGGGTCAAAAGTAGGATTTTCTCAAAAATGTTGACCTTTCAAAATCCCAATTTTCCCATTGATGTGGGTTTTAAACAGCCATTTCCTACTTCAGAAAAATTTCGAACTGTGTGACTTTGTTCACTTTTTATCAGGCTTTCGAATAAGATGTTGCTCGAACAGAATGGATAAGAAATGGTGAAATTATAGTCAAAATATCAGAGATGACTACTTTTCGCAAATCGACGATGGTGCTCATTTTGTAAATTCTATAACTCAGCTAGAATAAATCAGAAAGTGCCTTATTACTTTTCATAATCCCGGTTTTGACAGTAGAATTCGAATATGAAATAAAAGTATATGTCAATTTTTCACTCGTGACTTGATTTCTTGATGGGCTGGGAAGACGTCTCTTAAGTTGTCAAATAAGTATTTTTATTGTGATATCCATCGTTTATCTTATGAGGCTTGTCGAAATTATACAATGCGTCAGTTTATTAGTGCTTCTAGCTCAATCGTCAAGACTGGCACAAATGATTCCATGTCTAACGCGTTTCCCTATATATAATCTCACAATGCCATATAGTTATTATGAAAGAACACAGTTGATCGATCTTTATGCTGAGCTTTCTCTTACACCAAGGCGTTTTTGTGACTTAATAGGCATAACAACAGCAGCGTTTAATGACCTTTATCATAAATTTCTCATTCAAACAACATCAAAACTGGTATTATTAAAACAAGGATTGCATTCTGGACGTTTAGATGCCAATAAAATATCACTATTACTAATTTGGTTGAGGAATATCCAGCGAATGGTTTGTTAGTCTAATATTTCGCGTTTCTACTTCAAAAATATCTTATAATCTAAGATTTTCGTTACCTATCTTAACCAAAACCATTTGCAGCATGATTATCTGGTCATCACAGAACGAGATGAGAAATCTAGTCGTGTTCCATCCTTTTTAGGACGATATGTCGGCTCGGAATTATTCCTCTGAACGCGTGGATAGAAAACAACAAGAACAGAAAGAAAAAAGCATTGCACACATTCGTTTACGAATATACTGCATGTGCGAGAAAAGATATCTCCTTATTTGCTAGTTCTCTAATATTACATTACTTTTCTCATTGTTTCTTTCGCCGTTGCTTTCGTTTCTTTCTTTCTTTCATGATCACTAAAAGTAATTTACACTATAGTTGTTACACAACTAACTTTTTTCATCCGATTATTTTAACTTATAATGTAACCTTGCTTACGGTCTCATTCTGGACTATTGTGTTCAAACAAGTAACAACTACTGTGTTGAAACAACCAACGCGCTTTCAAGAGAGATCAAATATATTGCCTTGGTTTTTGAAGCTGGTATGTAAATGTGTGTAGGTAGGAACGAAAGTTGGGAAAGCAACAAAAAATCGAAAATTAGTGCGGCTCACTTTAAACATTCGGAATATAGTCATTCTTCCTTCTAGCTCAACAGAGTAGTGAACCTTGATGGCTTTTCATTTTTTGTTTTTGAAAAATTTCTAACAAAAAAGCTAATATTTTCTGCGTTTCAGTTGTAGACTGACGAGAAGATTATCAGATAGAACATATACAAAAAGAGGGTTTGGAAGCCGCGATTGGAAGACCGCTTAGTCTAATTCAGTTGGGTTCGATATATCATTCCAGTTACAAACTATCTAATCTGTTAAACTATCCAATCTCTTTAGTTCTTTTTAGGTTTTTATTCCAAGTCTAACCATTTTTCATTATGCCTTTAACTTCGGAATGGACTGTATCTTTTATGCTGTTCTATTGAGAGTGAGAGGAAAATCGGAGAAATGGTTCTCGTAATTTTTTACATCTCATAATAATCCAAATGTTAGGAATGAATGCTGCTCAAACTGTGGCTGAAAGTAACCTACAGTTTTCATTTAATAATCGTCAATAATGACAGATTCACCTTCAATAGTTACGGCTTCTAAGTAGTTAACACAATCATCATCGATACTGGTAGCCGCCGGAGCGGGCCTCTCTGCATCGGCAATCAGCAGAAAACACAATGTTGGCCTTGATTATACTTCATCCGTAGTATTCGGCAGACTCTACCCATGCATGCTGCAAGTATCAACCATGAGATGCATATATGACGCTATCGGTAAACATGACTGGTCGTCAAAACTTATGTGGGGCTACCTGTTTACACACGTTAATCTTGCTCGTTACAATTGGGGTGAAACAGATGTTTATCAAGATCTAAAACGGATCATTCACCACGTACCGGATTCATTTTGTTATGACGACAAATGTTGATGGGATGTTTGAACAGAATGGATTTGATATGCAGCGATTTTTGAGTACACAAGGAGATTATTCCCTGCTTTAGTGTTTAAAGCCGTGTTCACCTCAGTCGGTATTCAATACTCGCGAGTATATGGATTCAGCATTGCCCTGTGTTGATCCAAAAACTTTCGAAGTTCCATCAAAATTCATTGTGGCAGTGATATGTTTTATTACCTTAGAGGTGGGGGCTGGTTTCTGGAGTCAGCGTTTGACGATCAACATCGACGATATCGCGATTTTCTGAATCG